TAAATCAATATGTAAAAGATATATAAAGTTTTAATTAGATACATTTTATCACTCTGTGGTAGTTCTACATAGTATATTTTTTCTATTATTTTTTTTTTACTGTTAATGTGAAACGTGCAATCCCTGTAATTCAATTATGAGTTTTATAGTTAATTTTTATTAATTATGTCTGAATATAAGGAATGTTGAATCATTTTCTGGTATTTCAGGGAATCGACTCTTTTTTTTTACCGTCCTTGTTGTTTCTATCTTTACCGAACATTCTTTTCTACTCTGCCTCATATATAAACACAAAATAAAATTTGAACGGATTAGAGAAAAAAATATTTTCTTGATTATGTAAACAGTATTTTTTTTTTTTTGTTTAGCTTTCATTCCTTTTGACGAGAGTGTACATGTGCTATTGACAGAGACCAAATGTTTACAGAGCTTTAACGTCTCGCTCTGAATGTGTTCCCTGATCAATAAACTCAACGATGAGGCTAGATAATACACAACTCGCTGGCATTATTGCTTTTACAACAACCTCTTTGTTTTGGATTTTTTTTTTCCGACAGCACTGCGAAAGATGATTGAAACTGCATTCGATATTTGTTTAATAATGTTGCCTGATTTTTCTTTATATTTTAGAAGTTGTTCGCAGAAAAAATAAATAAAATACGTAGCTGATCGAAAAAAAAATAATACCTTACAACATTACACTACTACAACAGCGGAACTACAAATGTCAATCAATCTAGCAATATAGGATCATATAAATATAATAAAATATAATAAAGTGCTTCCCATAAATATAGGATAATATAAGTAAAGCACAGTGACAAACATTTGAGGATATTGGGCTCAGCTTAAGGCTTAGACTCTTTTTCTCAAATGATCATAGAGCTATTCTCCTCCATCTGCTATATAAATAGATTTTTATTTCATCGAAGACTAACTTAATAAGCAAGATTTAATATTTTTTATCAATCTAAAAATATCCTCATACGCAATTGAAATGACAAGAAACCGCTTGACGTTTCCGATTACTTCAGCACTTACTAGACAAACGCTCTAAACTTCCAATTAATTAAAAAGACTCATATACATGACTATAATAAGGTCTATTTGGAGTTGAGCTATGGGGCTCCACTAAACCATCGAATTTCTCTCGTATCCAATCCTTACAATCCAAAATCCTTCGTAAAATCCTCAAAGCTCCTTACTTTGTTACAAATAAAACCATCCATAATGTCCTGAATGTTTTTTTTTTTTCATAAAAATGACGATATTTACTTTGGAAAAAAAGAACTAGCTATCTATATGAAATGGTGTTTAAGTGATTCCTTAAGTCCTTTTAAATGTAATTACACGAACAATAATACATTAAGAGATAATTTTTTAATATTTTTTTCCATAAAACATGGTTATATTTTACCATTCTTTTGATCGAATCTGGCACCCAGGACTGCTTTACAAACTCCGTAAATTCCTACACCCTACATACTTCCTCATTATCCGTTCCTATCTAACTGATAGATCCTTCAAAGTAAATCATAATAATGCCTATTCATCCCTTTTTTCCCAGTCCGCTGGTGTTCCTCAAGGTAGTATCCTAGGTCCTATCCTTTACACAGTTTATACAGCTGATATCCCAACCCATCCTAACACTGTTATTACCACGTATGCCGATGATACATGTGTCCTATCAATTAATAACGACCCAACAATTGAATCCCAAACCCTTCAATCACACATCACAAACCTTGAAGAATGGTTTCAAAACTGGAGGATCAAAATAAATTCCAATAAATCCCATCAAATCACGTTTACCCTTCGTCGTAAACCTATGTCCTCTTGTCCTACAGTATCCTTTAATAATACCCCACTTATCCCTGTTGAACAAATTCGATACCTTGGACTCCACTTAGACAGACGTCTAACTTGGAATCCTCATACCAGACTGAAACGACAAGAAACAGCTCGACGTTTCCGACTACTCCAGCACTTACTAGACAAACGCTCTAAGCTCCCAGTCAATTACAAAAGACTCATATACATGACTACAATAAGACCTATTTGGACTTACGGAATTGAGCTCTGGGGCTCCACTAAGCCATCGAATTCCTCTCGCATCCAATCCTTACAATCCAAAATCCTTCGTAAAATCCTCACAGCTCCTTACTTTGTCACAAACAAAATCATCCATAACGACCTTAATGTTCCTTATGTTTCTGACCTGGCCCAATCCAGATACCTTTCCTTCCATAATAAACTTCAGAACCATCCTAACCCTCTCGTTTCTAACCTTGCTTCCTTTTCGATACCTGACAACCCTCCGAGGCGTCTGAAAAGAAGATGGCCTCGAGATCTCCTTTTGTAAATACATTTTTAGAGTGCTACCAGTGGGTAGTTTCTCACCAAATGATTTCATGTTATTATATTCTATTGTACACATTTACTGAATGTATTTTTACTTGTAATACAGTTGTAAATATCATTAATAAATAAATAAAAAAAAAAAAAAAATTTTACCATTTTGGGGGCTTCAGAACGAACGCCCCCCTCCCCGTAGATCCTCCCCCCGTGCATCGTATTGTGGACGCTAGACGAATTCATCTATAGACAAATCGCGCAATATGTTCTACTAGTGGGTATTAGGCTTAAGAGGCATTACGATTTATTTCGAAAATAGGTGTTTGTCTCGCTTCGTTGATTTTGAAACCACCCGAGTTTTGAAAGCTCCCAATATTTTTAATTTCTGTTATTAAAGTGGCTGAAGGAATTTACGGACCGAAATTGGATTTGTCACTTCTCCATCAATTCCCTTTTGTTTTATACTTTATAAAACAAATTAAAATTAAATTAAACAAATTAAAATCCAACGCTCTTCAGAGGAGGAAGAGGGACTAGATAATTAATCGATTGCTCAATAACCCTAATATTGATAATATTAATACTAATATATTATAATTATTATATCAATGAGCCTATTGTGATTTGATAGCAACGTGAATTTCGAAACCCGGTATCGCTACATGGGAACAGGCACCGAGAGATGTCAGATGTGAAAGCCTTTACGCAGTTAGTGGGCGGAAAACTGACCGGGTTTAATCTCGTAGCTGGCGGATTTGGCAAGTGGGCTGTACATAATGCTCTTATCTTCTCCGGTTATGGTTATATCTCAACAAATATTAGTTTTGTGTTTAAAAAGAACTTCTACCGTCGGCTTTATTTATTTAAATTAAAGAGTTTATCAACAGTGTATGTATAAATATGCATCATGTTATGATAAGGCAATGATTTGTAAAGAGTCTATCCAGTTGTAATACCCTAATGATATGTAAAAAATATCTGAAGTCTATCTTTTTTCAGAAGTCTTGCTCTTCCCTGTAAGCAAGCGTCGACGTTTCAAGTCCATAAAGAACAGTAATAAGGATAATAATTCTGTAAATCATAATTATTAAATTCTTGGACCGATGGTTTGAGCTAATTAGTTTTGTAACTGCACACATAACAAGCATTTATTTACTTAAGTCTCGCCTCAATTTCTCCTTCGATTTTGGTTTTCTTTATATCATAGCCTCATAATCTTATATTTATTTAGGGATCTAGTTCTTTATTAGCCATCGTCAAAAAAAGTCGTATTTATTTTTATTTTTCCTCAGTATTTACTTAATATTCAGTACGATATCACCAGTCCCCTCAAGCATTTCCCGCCTTCAGGCTAACCTTAATATCCTTCTCAATTTCGTTTTTTCTAGCTATCGTAGATCGTAGTTTCTAGGATAACTAGAAAAAACGAAATTGAAGAGGATATTAAGGTTAGGCTGAGGCGGGAAATGCTTGTTATTTTTCTTTTGTCAAATTTCTTAGTTCTCGCCTCCTGTCCCGAAACTTAAAAATTATAATTTACAAACCATTATCCTATCTACGGTTCTTTATGGATGCGAGACGTGGTCTCTTACATCAAGAGACTTTGAGCAACGTCTTAAAGTTTTTGAAAATAAAGTATTACGCAGAATATTTGGATCGAAAATGGACGAGTCAACCGAAGAATTTAGGCGTTTATACAACGCTAAATTGCGTGAACTGTATCCGGTTAATATAATTGAGATGATTAAGTTGGAGCGAATAAAATGGGCATGTAAAATCGCTAAAAAAATAACGAAAGAATTCCTAAAACATTAATATGCGCTGAACTGACTGGCAAGCGTCCGAGGGATAGACCAAAGCGTAGGTGGGTAGATTGCGTTAAGGCTGATTAGGCGGGGTTGGGTTTAAACGGAGTCTAGTGGATGGACGAATGTGGACATCGATTGGTGGTATCGGCATCGAACCTTTGGGTTCGCTAAGCCTTATTATTATTACTTGATCAATAGTTGAACGGTTCAGTCTAAAACCGTGTAGGTAATCTCCGATAGTTTCCTCGTTTGCATTCCATGACTACAAACTAACTTCGACTAGGACTAAATGTGAATATTTTATAACGTACCGGAAGAAATTCATTAAAGCTTATTAGAGTATGAAATGAAAAATGAAGGTTCTTTTGTAGCTTTATGCTAAAAGTTATCTCTTTTATAGATTTGTGCTATTGTTTATTTTTGTTGTTATCACTAATATTTGTTTCCCTTTGTTCCAGGTGAAAGTGTGTAAGAGATAGCAGCTATGAGCTCGGAAGCGGCGTGATATGGCACTACGCACCGCACCAGGTCATTCCCACCTCCAACGCCGCCCCCTATTTTCGAATCAAAGGGAAACACCTAAATGACAAAGTGGAAAAACGACCCCATCAGACTTTAGAGTTAAAATAACAGTGCACTGCCAATAATAAAGTTTTTTTATATTCGATACTTATATATATATATATAAAGTTATTTATAAAAAGTATATATATACATAATATATATATAGATAGATAGTAGATTTTAAAAAAGAAATTAATTTACTGTTTGTATGAGAAAATTCCTTAGAGGATTCAAGTGCGACAGAAAGAAAAGGAAAATACTCTTGGAAGAAAGATGCGGAACCGCGAAGGCGAGGGTGTGTCAGAATGGTTCACGGGGAGGTCGGTCTTTGTGACCGGGGGTACGGGCTTCATGGGGAAGGTCTTGGTCGAGAAGCTCCTCTGGTCTTGTCCAGGCGTCAAGAACATCTTTCTCCTCATGAGGCCCAAGAGGGGCCAGGATGTCTCCGCCAGGCTCGCGGACCTCCTCAACGCTCCGGTTAGTATTATTATTTCATTTTAATGCATATTTATATTTGTTATAAATATTTTAATCATACATTTAGGCTGAATGTTAAAAAAACCAAAGGAACATATAGTTATAGGTTATAGGTTTGAGGCATCTTCTTTGTTCCTTCCCTTACTCCTGCTTTATCTCAATAATCAACCCTTTAATGTGTTACCTTCAATCAGAACCTCTCCTGGAATAACCATATTTCTGATATAGAAATATCTTATAAACATATTTATAATTGTTCTGAAAACATTTTTAAAAGTCTGTGATTCCCTATTTTAAAATACATGACAAGCCTTCTCTTATTTTTCCATTCGACTATGATTGCTCAGTGACAAATTCCAGATGAGAGAGAGGGTAACTGTTGTGCTGTAGATGATGCTGAAGGCACTAGCGGATCCAGGATTTAATTTTGGGAGGGGCTTCAGCCAGAAAGTTTATATATATATAACGATAATTACTTTAAGAAAAAAAGTGATTTTCGAAGTCCTAATTAATGTAATTACATGAAAAATAATACTTTAAAAGATGATTTTTTAAATATCTTTTACCGTAGAACATGGTTACATTTTACCATTTTGGAGGGGCTTCAACACGAAAGCCTTCCCCATATATCCAACTGTAGCTGAAGGGACTTACGAATCCTTTCATAAGATTCATCTTTGAGTTTTTGAGATTCTCACAAGATTCTTGTCACTTTATCGAGTTGGGTTGATTTTATCGTGCTCTCTACCAGCAATACAACCTATGTATCTTTTCCAAGTCATTAGAACCGAAAATTCAAGAATAGAATTTGTTCTGCTATTCACTCTCTAAATTTAAGAGAAGAATCTCAACCAATTGATTTATATACCCTTTTTATAAAATTAATTCCTTCAAAACATCTTTCAACATTCTTTCTATTCCTATTGAACAGAGCCAATATCTATGGCTTCATCTGGACCAACATCTAACTTGGAATCCCGGTTCAAAAATGGAAACCACTCAGTGTGTCCGGTTACTTCAACATTTACTAGACAAACACTGGAAGGTCCCAATTAATTACAAAAGACTCATATAACTATTTGTACTTACTTAGTTGAGTTTGAAAGTTTTGAGTTGTGCTTTGGATACGGGATGAATTTGATAGTTTGGTTGATCACTATAATTCATTGCCTTGAGTCCAAATGGTCCTGATAATACTCCTTTTGATGAGATTTTTATTTTGTAATGGGGTTTTAAAATTTTTGTTGAGCAACATATTTTCTTTTTATTCATCAGTGATTATTCATATGAGATGATATGTAAGTTAACAGGTCTAGTTCAAATTAGTTAACAAAGTGCTATGAAAGAATAGAGAAAAACAGGGAATGCAATGCAATGGTGGTTTGTAGGGGTTTATCTTTATTTTCTAATTTTGATGATTTTGATTAGAAATAAATTATATGTGCCTTTAGAATATATTGATTGAAGTAACTTATATTGATAGAATATATGAAATAGAATATATTGATATTTTCTTGAATAGGATATAGACTTATAGTTTTCGTCTTAGAGATAAAAACCTGGTTTAATCCATTCTTTCCCTAAATTTTATAGAATTTTCTTTAATTTTAGGAAAGTTTTTTAATTTCACTATTATTTCTACAGTACATAGTATATCATCAAATAGCAATAATTTTACTCGTCATTATGGGATGTATTAGTATTTTTTTCTTAGTACAAATATTAATCAAATGTTTGTTAATGCCAGGCTATTGTAATAAAAAAGATCCTGCAACATTTTATCCCTAGTTACCTTACTTTATTTTGGAAGATCTTATCTAACAATTATTTTCTGATTTTGTTTATATATAATCTTATGTAATAAGATAATTAAAATATAAAAACGATTTATATCATAATAAATAAATATTTAAGTGGCTACAATCTTTTAATAATTAGTCTGTTTACTAATTACTGATCGGAAACTTTTCAAGTGATTATTTTAATGTAAAACTGTAAAAAACATGTAAATAAATGCTTCACTGGAAATAAATATTCTTCCTTGCTATATAGTTAAAGAGAATTTATCACAATCTTATTGACTGGAATCTAATTTGTCTGCCTTTTGTCAGCTGTCCCATTAGGCCAGGAAACACCCAATTGAAATTCCTTGAGTCTGTTTCTTCCCTCATATTACCCTTGCAAAATAAGTGGAAATACTCAATTTTTTTCTTCTTTTTTTTGTGATAGATTTGCAGAACCAAGTGTTTTTTGTAGTTTTCAAAACCTTAGAACAGAATCAAAGTTTGTTCCATGTAATATGGCTTAAAGAATAATGTTATGCCACCAATGACCCGCTAGAGTGTGTGCAGAATTTTATAAAAATAATAATTAAGAATGTCATAAAACAAATAATCACAGAAAAAAATAGAATTAATAAGGGTGATTGTTAATACAAAAAAAGTATTAATTCTTTAGCAATCAATATTTAAAAAAAAAACTTTTTACTTACACTACAGTTAAAATATTGCTGTTATACTTACAATACAGTCTCATTGGGAATATTTATTAGTCCTCATTAATATCGAATTAGGATGGAAATAAATACTTGATCATCATGGTTTTCATGAATTAACTATGTATTAATTTTAATACTGAATTCACATCTTAATGAACCTTGGTTTCAATTTCATAACAATTTTTAAAAAATTCTCTGTAGGATATAAGTTTTTATCTAGTGAAATTCAAAATAACTCTTAAATCTCCACTTCAATTTAAGTCTCGATAAAGTTTCTTTGATTTTTTCCCATAATAAATCAGTTAGAATCCTTTGGAACTCATTTAAGTAAAGAATAGTATATTTGTATTTTTTTATTTTTACAGCATCAGAATTGTCATCAAGGAATTTTTCCAGTTTTCATGCATTAATATCATTGTTGTCTATAAAAGAAATGAATATTATTATTAATTTGTCAATCTTTTAATATTTTTAATGAATTATTGAAGGAAGTTAGTCAACTGTTCTACATATCATGGGTGATAAATATTCAGGACGCAGCCATTATAAAGTTCTTATTAGTGCCGACGTTTCAGAAGTACTTGAATATCTTCAGTGCTCGAAACGCGTCCTGATGATGTCCCATATGTTTGGGTTGAAACGTCGGCACTAATAAAAACTTTATAATGACTGCACCCTGTATATTTATCACACATTTAATGTTTTTATTTTAGCTGTTTCATAATGATATAATCGTTTGATTTATGCGTCTATGGTCAATAAATTTTCCTCAGTATTTAATTGATTATATGCTAAATTAAAGAAAAACATATCATGAAATGTACTTGGATAAAATTTCAAATACAGCTCTACTATACTTTCTCTTCATAAAATATTTTTAAGCTAAATGTGAAAAAAATGTTCTTCAAGTAGATTGCTTGTAAATAAACAAAATAAGATGCTTGATATAGTTGATAATGTGACAATATTTTAAATTTCATATAGCTTTTAGAAACATTTTTAATATCATGTAGTATAAATGAAATAGTGGTTGATGGAGAATTATTTAAACTTTATTAATGGATTGGAGATAAAATTAGAAGTCAAATTGAACATTGTATATTTAGCACTAGCGGATCCAGGATTTAATTTTGGGAGAGGCTTCAGCCCGAAACCTTTTTTTTCATAACAATAGCGATAATTACTTTGGATAAACAGAAAGAAACTAACTACCTATATGAAATGGTGTTTAAGTGATTCTTTAAGTCATTTTAAATGTAATTACATGAACAATAATACTTTGAGAGGTATTTTTTTTTTAAAATTGTATATAAAAAATGGTTATATTTTACCATTTTGGAGGGGACTTCAGCCCGAAAGCCTCACCCCTCTTCCCCGTAGGTGTTTCTTATCATGCCCGTGATGTTTAAATCTTTCTAGTGACCAGTTTGATCCTGAACAATTTTTTTGAAAACCATAAATGTCTATTAAATATTTTGTCAACTGAAATAGTGTTTCTTATCATCTCAGACAGGAAGTTCTGCATTTGTTTATTTTAGGCAATTGGGAGTGATACTTTATTTATTAAATATTTCCATTTGAATGTGTTCTTCCACATGGACAAACATCGTACCCAGCAGTCATGATTGTGAAGAGGTGATCTTATAGGTAACCTCCCTTATAGGTCCTTATAGGCTCAATGATATTTATCCCTCCTTCTTCTAACAATCTCACTTTAATATCATGAGGTATAGGTAGGCAATTTCCCTTTTTTTTTTTTTTTTTTTTGTAATCTTAATTCTGTTTATAATTTTGTATTGTACTAAATCAATTCACCAGCTTATAAATTTATGATTTGATTTGGTTAGCTTTTTAATCGAGTGAGAGAAGAGAGGCCAAGTGATTTAGAAAAAATAGTTCCCATCAATGGAGACATCACACTTCCAGAGCTTGGAATCAGCCCAGCAGACCAGCAACGCCTAGCACAATGTGTTTCTGTCGTCTTCCATTCAGCAGCCACGGTGAAGTTCGACGAAGCGCTCAAGTTATCAGTCACCATCAACATACTTGGAACGAAAAGGCTTGTGCATTTATGTCACTCAATGATAAACCTTGAGGTAAATAATTATTTACAAATTACGTTATTTTTATTTATTATTTCATTAATTTAATCTTAGGTGTAACAGTTGTTTGCCAATAAAAGGGTTCATGATAAAGTGAAGTAAAAATATAATGTTGTTTATATTCAATTCAAATTATTCTCCTTTATTTTATCTGACTTATTTAAAATTTGGGCTATTTTCAAATGTTTTTAAATTTCTCTGGTCTTTATAAAATAAGAAAAACCAAATATTATTTTAATAATATGAAAATTTATTGATTTTTTTTTTTTTTTGAGAATTAGATAATAATTTTTTTTTTTTTTATTCCTAGAGGTCTTTGTTCTAAAATTTTAAGGTGAAAAATGCCCAACCTATATTTCAAAGTGGGTCTATGTGAAATTTAAACCTCCTTTTTTCAATCTTAATCCATTTCATTACATCTTAAAGTAAACTGGAAAACTTTTTATGAATAGTATCATATCATAAAATTGTCCATTTGACCTGTTATGAATTTGCGCTGACTTAAAGACGGGACAGTGTTAAACCGAAAATGCTTTTACAACCACCTTGTGATCAAATAAAAGTAAGAATTATATCCACTTACCCCTAAGGAAATTTATTTTTCTATAAATCATATGACCACTTTTACAGATTTATTGAATATTATCTTTTATGCTCTCACAGATATTTATTTGGTATACATAAAATAGCAATAACTCTCGGTATATTTTAAATTGATTGATTTTTTATTTACAAAATTTTATGATATAAAGCTATAATAAACATTGATCTTCTGCAACTGGAATACTTGGAAAAATCAAGGAATTTTTTTTTAATCCTCTAGTATTGTGGCCTATAGTATTTATGATTTTTGATGTTGTACCACATATGCAAAATCATTACTATTTAGGATCGTTATATTTTCTATTACAACTCTTTCAATGACCTATATTTTGTTTTTCCAAATATAACATAGAAAACCTGAAAAATTCACAGTATTTCATAAAAGAAGGTTCCAGTAGACACCCTGAATACAGTATTAATCAGAATATATTATAACAGGGATGCTCAGAAGGAAGCTTCATGGGGCAAGTTGTGCCATCAAAAATTTTGAGGACATATTTTGATGGGATTTTGAATTTTTAAGGGTATATATTTCGACGGGGTTATGAATTTTTGGAATAGAAAGTTTCTAACCAGAGAACAAGGAACATGCAGCAGCTAGTGTAATTGTATATGATGTACAACTTTTTTAAATTTTACTTTTACTTGCACTGTTTTTAAAAAGAAGTGAGCAATAAAATGTCTTTCAAGGAGAGGAGGTTCATGGGCATCGATGGGCACCCTTGTATTATAGTATTTCATTATATTTTTATTTTTATTTTATTTATAAATAATTTCTCTTTGAGTTTATTTATATTAATTCTTGTTTTAAACGTAGGCGTTGATACATGTTAGTACTGCTTATTGTAACTGTGATCGATATGAAGTGAAGGAAGAGATATACCCACCACCTTATGATCCGGAACATATTATACAAGCTATGGAATGGATGGATGATGAACTTATTCAAACACTAACACCAAAGTAATGAAATTTTGGATAATCTCATTGAGTATCTTAGAAAAAAATGTTTTGTAATCTTTAATGTGTTTGTAATTACAGATTAATAGGAAATCGACCGAATACTTATACTTTTACCAAGGCCTTAACTGAGCATATGCTACTAAAAGAAAGTGGAAACCTACCTGTAGCTATTGTCAGACCATCAATTGGTATGAAAATATTTTATATTGTTTTATTTTAAATATTTTATATGTATAGTAATATGACATTCTATCACAAAATAGACAATGATTATAGTGAGAAAAGAGATGTCCATCCACACCCTATTTACAGAAAATATATATAAATAAAATAATAATCAAAAGGTATATGCAGTAAATAAAAATAAATTAATTTAAAGATAATTAAAGTTAACCAACACAGATATACCTCATTCTAAAATTAATGAAATAGATTATACTATTTAAATAAATTTAGAAAATACATTTTCCTAAACATTACATCATGATTAATTTAATTAATCATTTCTTGTAATTTTAATAACAAAATCGTGTATTGTTGTAATGGAATAAAACGTATTTAAAATTTGTTGATGTCACTCAACAATCATTGAAAGTCGAGAAATATGTTAATAGGAAAAGAACGTTTTCCTAAATTTTCAAATTTATATAAAATAAGATATTTTTGTTATAAAAACTAAAATAGTCATTATTTAGGTTTTTTATTAATATATCTATATGATGGTGCGGTATGCATTACTGAATTTTTTAGGAGGGATGACTTATAATATGGCTTATAATTTTTAAATTGAAGGTTTCTACGGTTAAAAAAACAATTTTATTTGTAGTAATAAATAAAAATAAATTGGTTATTTGTTTAAATTTTTAAAAAAAGTTAGTGAGTAGCACCTAAGACTAATATTGTAATTTATTTATGAAAAAATAGTATATGAACAATTTTACAAATGAAGAGCCACCAGACATAGAGATATTTTTGTAAAGAATTCTAATTTTCTTTTATGATTATTCATGGGTAAAGCTAGTGAAATGCCAATTGTATATAAAATAAGATCTTTTTGTTACAAAAATAAAAATAGGAATTATTTAGGTTGTACATTTCTCTTATTGGAGCCTGATAGATGGATATGGCGAGTTTTATAGATAACATATATATTTTATTGGTTAATCCATCTCAACTTCTGGTTGATTTAACTTGTGCCTGCGAGAATCACACAATCTCAAATCAAATATGTAATATTTGTCTTTGATGAATCGTGTAAGATCCTGTCCAATTTTTCAAAAGTATTCTGTCTATCTGCAGAGCAGCCTTGCTTCTGGTATGGCTTGTATATAATAAAGCTAAATCACTAAATACTTACAGATCTTTTTATTTTATAATTCTTTTATAATTATGATAATAAATATCTCTTAACTTCTTAGGCTAACTAATACCCATTATCTGACAGAACCCTTCCTGGTGATGTGTCATAAATATCTAATATACATCAGCTCTCTCTTAGTTTTAAATAAGGAATAATGAGTTTATAATTTTAAAAAATACAGTAGGCAGTTTTAAAGAGAAATTTTTTTTTATTATAATTATTATTTTCCAGTGATTTCATCATTTCGTGAACCAATGGCTGGTTGGGTAGACAACTGGAATGGCCCTACGGGCATAATAGCTGCAGCTGGAAAAGGATTTTTTCGAACAATGCTCTGTCATGAAAACAAAGCTGCTGATTTGGTACCAGTTGATATTGTCATTAACTTAATGATCTGTGCTGCTTGGAAAACAGCAACTACAAGGTTAGAAACACAATTTTTAACTTATGTATGATCATTATTTCTAAAAATTATTATTTAATCAGATTTCAAATGCTTAGTTATTTATTCAAAGGGAATCTCAGCTGCTAGTTACAATATTTTATTGTTTTTTTTTCTTAATTTCCAATTTCATAGTGCATATTGAAAGTGATGTAAATAACATCAATGCAAGCAAATTGAGGCATTAGGGCATAGAGCCTTGCAATTTCCGTTAAAAAATGGGTATACTGAAAAATTTCTAACCAGTTAAACATTTATTTATTTGTACTGAGCATAATTATACTTTGTTTACTATTTTTAAGAGAAAATTGTTGCAAGGGAAAAAAAGGATCTAGGCGTAAGGATAAATTTTATAGGATAAATTATTTTTTCTTGATATGAGGGAGGAGGGCACTGTAAAAATGCTCACATTGGGTTAATGTTTCATCCTCAGTTTTGCCACTTCATATAATTGTAGAACTAATAGTTCAATAGCTTAGAAGCGATTCTATGTTAAATTATTATGTTTAAAAAAACAAACAGCTCATGATAAATAGAGCATAAGAAAGTGCGTTTAGATCAGATTTTTTTTTTTAATTTACTTTTTGGACTAACTTCATAAAATATTTAACAATCTTATGATTTCGAATCAGCCTAAAGCTGTTGTGAATTAAAACTATGTATTTTTTTTTTACTACGGTCATTTGTGAATAGAATTGCTTACCGAACATTTATTCCTGTAACTTTAATCTCTATAATTTCATACTATTCATTAAATAATTTAATCATAGAAACATAATTTAATTTATTTTTATCATAAAATATAAATTATCAAATAAATCATTTAGATGATACTAGCAAAATAAAATGTTTAATGTTTTTAAACATCCTAACAGAAAATTTCTTTCAATTTTTAGGCCTAGTGGAATAATGGTTTATAACTGCTGCACTGGTCAAAAAGCTCCGATAACTTGGAAGAAGTTCGTTCAGCAATGTTTTGAATCGATGAGGAAGCATCCGCTCGGCGATCTCATGTGGTATCCAGATGGAAAGGCTCGTTCCTCTCGGCTGATTAATGCTCTCAACAAATATGCTCTCCATTATGTTCCTGCTTATTTATTAGATGCAGTATCCTGGGCGGTCGGAAGAAAGCCTATGTAAGTTGATTTTAAAACAGTTTGCATATTGTTGAATACTCAAGCAATTATTGTTTTACTATATAAAATGTTATACTTTACATAACACCGAACTATAGATCCCTTTTCTAGTTCTTAGGAGCGATAAATTTTGTTGAATGAGATATCAAACGAAAGAGAATTTCATGGAGAAGTCACAAATCCCAATTTCAGTCCTTAAATTTCTTCAACTTTAATAAAAATCATTGAAAAAATCAGAGGTTTCGAACTCCATAAAAGATGATGGCATCAATTGTTTTAAAGATTTTGGTGCGTACATCAAGACCCGATATTGTTCCTTTGAGACTATATCAGGCCCTGTGTTTTAAAGTCCCATAATGTATCGTTTTCAAGATAAATAATAATTCTTGGTGAAAGCATCTTAGGCACTACATTGCCATCGGATACTTATTACATGATTAGATTTTAAAAATTAAAATATTACTATTTATGGTAGTCTTTGATAAACTGAAAATCTATTGCAATGGTAAATGGAGGAGAATATCTCCATGATTTCTTGAGCACTTCAAATATTATAGAAAGATGCTTTTCGTTTTTTTAATATATAAAAAAAAATATTCAGGTAAGGCTTTTATACTCTCACTAATAGACTGACTATACTCTTAATAAGTGAGAGAATGACAAACCAAGAGTCTTCTGCTTCAAGGAAATAGGACTTAAGCGAGTACAATAATAGATTAGTACAAGGATAACTATGTCATATTGCTTATGGTTAAACTGGAGGGATATTTTCCTCTGGAACATGGTAATCATTTATTATGTAAATTTTTACTTTAATACTTGTAATAAAGTATGAAGCTTCGTCAGTTGTTTGTGTTGAATAGACTCTCTCGATAATACTATATTTTATATACCAATAAACAGATTTTTCTTATATTTATACATTGAAAGCATTAGGGAGAAGTATAGCTATCTAATGTGAGTTCTCGCCAGGATATTCTAGTTATGTATATATTTTTGCTATCTTTTTCACCTTTATTTCTAATTATTGATCCCTTTTAGGGCATAGAGGTGTTATTTTCTGATCGAATCATTTAGTATTTCTAATTGTTAAATAAATATTCTTCATTAGTTTGTTTCTCTCTTGTTTCCTCCTACTTTGACTATGGTTGTATGGTGTACGGTAGACTCTCAGGAGATTTCGAAAAACTTAAATGCCTAATAAATTGCACAATACGTTTTGTCTTCAGAATTTCAAGAGATATGTATATTACCCAGTATTACATCGAATTGAAGTGGTACTATCGCCATCAGTATTTCCTAGCTACCTTTCTGTACCAGGTCATTAGAACTCATCACCCCTCCTATATTTTTCACAACTTACAATTTAAATACTCCATCCAATCCCGTCCCACTAGATCTCCTACTTCCGACCTCTATCCTCTTCCTCGCCGAACTGCTGTGTTCAACAAATCCTTACCATAAAAATCAGTTTAAAATAACCATAAACGCAATTAATATTAAATAACTTCCTCCAAAATTTGATTGAAAACTCTTGGATTTTAAAGAGTTACCTCTGTTTAATGAGTGAAGAATTAATATCTAAAATGATCATAAATTAGGTTATTTAAAAAGAAGCAACTTGAATTATACTTATTCAGTAATTCACAGAGTAGCTTAAGAAGGTGTTTGATAATTAGATTAATGTCAATGTGCTTCATAACAATAAAAAAATTAACAATTAAAAAAATTATTAATGATATATAACTTTATTCATGATTGTTTTGTTTTTCTTCTGTTTAGAATGGTTTCAGTGCAAAAAAAGCTTGATAAAGCAGTGTCATGTTTAATATATTTCTCGACTCGTGAATGGAAATTTTTGGATGACAACGTACTCGCTCTTAATTCTTCTTTATCGCAGGCAGATAAAGAAGTTTTTCCCTTTGATGTACGTCAGATTAAATGGCCATTATACATAGAGGATTATGTTCTTGGCATCCGGCAATTCATATTTAAGGAATCTCCTTCAAGTATTCCGAAAGCTCGAAAGCAGCTAACAAAGTAAATATTTCTTCCTTTTACATTTTTAGTACACTAATAATTTATTTCATAGGTAATATCCATTAATGAATTTCAATTTTTATGATTAAATTAAAATAAATATGTTAATTGTATTCGTTGTAGTTTCACTAAACAAAAATAGTATTATATTAAAATATTTCTTCTTCTTAATTTAGAAAATTACTATTATATTTAAAAAAAGCTTTTCTCATTAAGCGAGATCAACTTAAATTATATTTATTTAAGAATAATGTTTTTGTTAAATTTATATAATTGCTGATAAGTGTATGTTTCTAATAGGTTTTATATCTTACATCGAACCTGTCAACTGCTGATGATGTTGTTATTATGGAGGTTGGTTATGATGAGGTTTAACGGCATCGCTAAGAAGTATTTTTTCCAGTTTCTGGATATTGTACTTCGCTTAACACGGCTCATACCTGGTCTCTAACAGCCACACATCTTTATCTAGTGTTTATACATTTGTTTAACCAAATGCTTAAAAATCAATTATTTATATAGTTTTCACGTATATATTTGTACATACCTGCCTATGTATAATATATATGCCATATTTATATAAACGAATTGATGATAGCATTGAATTAAGCAAAGGACTTTTTTTTTAATTAATGCGCTGATTGAAGACAGTTTGCTAGCTTGTGCTATGAACGGGTCAGAGGTTTATTCATTATTGAGGCTGATTTATCATTTTTAATTTTGTGTCTTCTATTAGTCTTCTTCTTAGCACTGATTCTTCCATTGTTTTCCAATTTTTTCAATAGCTACCAATCAAAAAAAAAATCTTCATGTGTTGTTAATGTTTTAAAAAAAAATATGGAAATAAGTACAAAAGTTATGTTTATGGTTATGGATATTTAACTTATATTTAAGTATTTTACAAAGCATAAATTGTTAAAATTTAGTAACCTTTTGTGGGTAGATGGAAATTAAAATGTACTTAATAAAAAACAAAAATAAAAAAAAAATTCTAAAATGCTTACTGATAAGTGAGCATTAACTTGGCATAATAATGCTTACGTAGCATTTATATTTTTGATTCAATTTATATCCAATTATTTATATGTGAGAATGAAGTTATTTTTAAGATATATGTTTGCAATATTTTTTAGTTAATTAATTTATTGGTAGCATTTACTATCAGGTTGAACGCATATTGAGATATGTTTGATGTGGCACAGCACCTAGCGTTTTTATTTTATTTTTTACTGGTGAAAAAGAAGATGCAGTTTGATCTTCTATAAAATTTATTATTTATTCATCAACTGATCATTTAATGAGGACCTAATTAATTGGTGTCTGAATTAATTAAGTTAATAGAATATTTCCACTTCTTATTAATTTCAGATAAAATTCTCATATTAAACGTAAACCATGTCAGACATGTGTCAATTTGTGCCTGGCCTAATTGATGGGCACTAGAGTGAGATTTTTTATATTATTTAATTTCTTGTATCTTGAATTTTGCATTTTAATGTATTCGGAATAATAAGCAATTAGTAATCAGATTTATAAACCCAAGTTTTATAAGCATTTAGAAGACAACTATATCAAGGCAGTTTAAAATTAAAAATGCCTCGCTTTTGTGTAAGGTAAAATGCAAGCTTTAATTGTGACAATGTGACATCAAAGCTCAAAATTTTAACTAAATCGTGTGCAAGATTCAGAATGTGAAGAAATTACATTGCTTAACTTTTATTTTATTATTTATTCTTTGTAATGCTCAATATTTACTCTTTTTTTAGGCATTATTAAAAGTAATATCGATAAATATTTATAACTTGTTAAACTAGTCTTATTATTTTAAAATATTTTATGCATGTAGAATTAACTTAATACCGTAATGTTTATATAGCCATTTTTAATATTTTAATAAGATTCCAAAATCTGTTTATTTTCAACTAATATATAATTTTGTTTTTTTGCAAATTTTAATTAATGAACGGCTGTCATGTTTATGGTTTGCATAGTTTTTAAAATTAATCAAAACAAAATTAAAAAAATAAAATAAAAACTGATGAGTATAATGTTAAAATGACACGTGTCTGTCAATTAAAAGAAAAAAATTGACATTCACTTTTGACTAGTTGGAATTAAAAGCTTGCTTTTGTTTATGGCACTAGTTGCGTATACAGATTAGTTGAACCGTTGAAGCAATATTTGTTTGGTGTTATTGATTGCGTTTTCTCTCCTCTTCCCTAAGCTACATCTATTGCAACTTTCTCACTGTGCCAATTATTAAATGATAAGGCTCATTTGTGTGATAGAAGCTTCCCACTGACTTGAAACTTCCTAAACTGTAATCACAAAAACTTTAGTTGACCATCGTCTCCCAGTGCTTCGACTGCTCCATGGTATTTAATCTTACTTGCACCTAACCTAACCTAACTATACTTTTTATTTAGTTATTTTTTAAAATAAATTATAACATTTTCAACTATTTATTTTATCATACCTAAGTATAGGATCTTGGAATTGATGAGTGACTATGTGAATAATGGATGATTTCAGATTTAGGACTGAAAATTCCATAAAATGGTATAGTTGTGCGAAAAAATATATATAGTACTAGCTAGGAAGCTATAAAGTTTAGGTATGAAATTCATATTAAAGTTGTTGTTATTTAGGGTACTGTTAAATAAAAGGCGTGGATGAATTGTTTAGAATGGCTTTAGATAGACGTTAATTCTTGTTATATTATTTTAATTGTTTTCTTATATATTTTTTGTTATATAAATAGATCGCCTTTGCGATTTAAGAAATGTCATAGCTTCAAACCTTCGGTCCATTATGAATTATTTTCTTAATTGTACATAATAACATTAATATTTATTATAGCATCAAGTGATAATATTTATATTTGGTAAAAAAAATAATATTTTAATGCCAGAAAAACCCCTTTTTTTGGAATCGTTGAGTTTTACAAAATTCAACTGCAACAATGTTAACATTCAAACAACGTATTGATTCCATATATAAGCATTACCACTTGAAACTTTCCGTTCTAAAAATCAGTACATAGCTGATTTATTCCAAGTCAAAACATATAATGTAATATTTAATGTTCATAAGGTAATAGTGTGTTAGAGTTGAATAGCTGCTGGAGTTAACGGCAGAGAATACCAAATAATTAATTATGATAACAACATGTATTATAATAATTTTATTATTTAATAAAATCGTATTCTACATAGTTGAAAATGTTTTATTAATTAAAGTTTAGTGAATCAAGTTCTGATGTTTGTAATCTCCCGACTCCTTACTATACTTATGCTTCATAATATTCAAAATGGCTGCAACTTATCTTAAAGAAATCGTACCTGACATAAATGATATATTGTACCTGTGTTATTCGGACTTAATACTTGTAAGTTTATTTCACACATTCCAACTTTTTGAATAGTCAACAAATCTTAAGAAAGGAAATTATTTCTTTAAAAATGAAAAGAATAACATTGAAAATAAAATCAACATATAAAAATAAAGTTTTTGTATGGCGAAGTTTCACTTATCAAATAATTGCTGCTCTACAGTGAAAACCACAGGCTTTAGGAGGTTGAGGGAGGGAGCGATCACCCCCCAATAAAAATTAAGAAGTGGTGAGAATATCGTTTCCCTCCCTCTCCCTTCCCCTAATAATTAAGAAGAACAAGAAATAAAATCAAAATATATAACAATTAATCTACATAAATGAATAAAATATATAAGCTAAAATCAATCAAGGAAATAGGACTATTGGCTAAGCTAAGGCTTAGAAGTAGGTACACAAGTGTTTTACCACTCCCTGTTTATATTATTAAAATTTAATTTTATATTCAAAGATAATATGCAGATTTCAAGATTTATATGCAGCAACATTTCCTATGATTTTATGATTCATTCATGTGCACTTTTCAATTTTTATGTAAAGATTTATCACATTTGATGCATCGGACAATTAGAGTTCATATTATCCTTTAAATAAATATAAAATATGTAATATATTCAATTGCTTTGTTAACATATTTTTAAACATATCCGAACATATAAAAAACAACTAATATTTAGTTATACATATATTTATTTTTACATAGAGTATTATATTGTTCATTTTACAATATTTATGTAAATTATCACAACAAAAAATTTCATGATAACTTACATGGACATAGTAATACACTAATATAAGGCATGGCCACGATTAACATGCCCGAAAACACACTTTGAAGGCTCAAAAGAAGCTGGATGGGGATCTCCTCACTTAAAAATATACTCAAGTAAAATCCAGAAGGGATTCCGCTAGGCACTCCTTTCTCTCACACGGATCAAGCCACTATCAGTAATTTTACAGACAGCAGACACGTTAATTGTCAGTACTTCTGACAGTTGTGAGTAAAGTAATAAAGTTAATTTTTAAAAAAATTATATAAACTCCCGAGACGTTTATATGACGATATGTCCATTGCCCTTCCCCAACCAAAATGGAAAATGTGCCTCTATGATGGATACCATAGTATTCGCAGCACAATCCAGCTTCCTTTGCTTCTAGAAATTATAAATATCTATATTAAAAACAAAAAATTATACAGGAATGAGATATCCAAGATCTGAAACCACAATATGAAAATATCAAGAATTAAAAAGTTATCATTGAAATATAACAATTTTAAAAGTGTTATGTATCCTATTTATTAATAATTTGAATGTAACCCTATTTTAATATTTATGTTTGTTTTCTTTTAAGAATTAAAAAATCTATTTTGATTTGGCTTGATCAACATTTTATTATTTTTTTATTATCTGTCTATCTGATTGTGAGCTCAAGTTGCTCTTGAGCAACTTTTTATTGAAAATATCAATAAAAATGACATACAAAGCATATGCCATAAAATTTTGAAAAAAGTTATGAAGGAAAATGACAACTTTGGAACAATAAAGAAATTCATGTAGGTGAATAGCACATCTAGAATCCCTCAGATCGTATAGACTTTTGAAAGTGATTATTATAATTCAGAAGACAGTTAGAGGGAGTCTTTTCTGAAGATGGTAACCCACACTTTAGAGGTAGATACTTAACAAAACAATGTACAAGATACGTAATTATGTACAATGGTTATATTTAAGAGGGGAACTAAACATGGGGCGAAATAAAACTGCAACAAAACCAAAGGCTACTGTTTGTGGTCGCTTAGCTTTCATTAAAAATAAAATATTGTGAAAAGCTGTCAGCTTAGAAGATGCTGTAAGACTTCATCTTATCTGTGTTCTTCTTCTGCTCAATTTCGGAATGAGCTCATGTGAAACAGTAGCAACAGGTTAAATGGTATTTTCTATTTTACACGTTATAGCCCAACAAATGGAAACTGTTTGATAGAACAGAAACTGATAGATAAAAATCTATTGAAAATTACTCATTCTAAATCTGATTATATATAAATATATTTGTAATATATTTATATCAACTCTCTAATAGGACACCGAATAGCAATCCTTTGATGATTGATGTCTATAACAAATTTCCATTCAACCGTTGCAATATTCGACTCAAAGATATGGATACAAAAAACCTTAATCTTATGTTCAAGAACTGTAAATGTAAAGTCATATTGTTATTATTTCTGATAAATTATTATGAAAAACCAAAGTCTAGGACATCACCTTTATGAATAAATTTGTGATTCATTACTTAGCCAAAAATGTATTTTAGTTAAATGACTGTATTCCTATTAATTTAATTTTAAAATTTAATTAATTTACTCCCAAATATAAACTGCTAAACAAAAGCTTTGCATAAGAATATATTTTGTTAGGATTTTTTCAGAAAAATATTCATGGTAAAATAAAAATTAAATAATTAAAGATAATTGGTATATCCTAAAGTATACTACAGGAGAAATAAAAAAGATTTATTTTCCCAAAACCTTTTGAAAAAATAAATAAGGAGTCTCTACTGGAATTTAGAAACAAAATTGGTAACTTACAAGAACATCTTTTGGGGAGCAGTTTATTTTTATACTTTGGTTAATTTAACTATCATATTCCACTAAAATCATCTACATCTAAACCTATACTATGAAATAGTTATTTATAAATTAAAATATCACAGCTCTTAAAACTCATGCTAACAGCAGAACTAGTCTTAAACTAGTGACTTATTTGGATTTGTATATACTTCCTTAAACATCTACTGAATAAAGTTTTCATTAAATTGTTTAGTTTAAACCTCGAGCGTATGGAGGCTCCTTAGTTGTTTCTACATAATATATTCCCCTCGATCTGTAACAAAAGAAATAATGATTTTTACTTATTTATTTCCCTTGCATATTTTTCAACAGGTATATATTTAGGTATTTAGATTATTCTTATAATGTAAATAATTAAATATAACAAGAGATATAATATGAGTAAGTTAACGTATTTGTATGAATCTACTTATATTAATTTCATTTTTAATTAACTGAGAATTATTATTATTAATTTGCTCTATAGTCCTTAATGGACCTGGGTCTCAGAAACAAGCTTCCACCAGGCTTCCCTATCGGCAGCTATTCTTCTCCATCTCCTGATACCCATGTGGCTGAGATCCTCCTCCACGTCGTTGATTCACCTCAGCCGGAGTCTTCCCCTAAGACGTGCTTCTTCTGGGTGGTTATAGAGAAGTTTCCTAGGCAACCTATTCTCCTCCATTCTGTCTTCATGGCCCAGCCATTTGAGCCGGCTCCTTTTAACAGTGGCTAAAATTTCTCTTCCAGATTATCAGCAACCTCTCACTTTCCTGTGCCGAAACCCGCAGATGGTATACTGGCCTTATAATGGTTTTATAAATTATTACTTTTGTATTCCAGGACAGTTCCTTGGATTTTAGTATTTTTAGCAGGGAAGAAAAACACTTATTGCCACCTGTAATTATGGCCTTTATTTTGGCCTGCATTTTGTTCTGGTCAGACACTATCACTCCGAGGTATTTGAATTCTGTTCCCATTGGGAAAAGGTGCTAATTAATTTAATGCTAATTAATTCATGCATAGCTACATTATTCCTTGAGGGCTTCATGTAAAGACTTTTCCCTTCGTTTATCCTCAGGCCAAGTTGCATTGCTGTCGCATCGAATTCTTCGATAGATCCCGCAAGGGCAGACAATGTGCTAGCGCTGTATATAACAATATCGTCCACTTATGCAAGACATTGAGTAAGTCAATTGAATATAGTCAGCTCCAGGGCTATATTAAAGAGGACTGGCGATATAGGGTCTCTTATTTTACCTCAAAGCTGTTTGAGAGGACATTTTGAATCTTGACCTTACATTTGGTATCTCTTAGCGCCATCTCTGTCAAGACAATCAATTTTTCAGGGATTCTCAACATCCCCATAGCTTTCTGTATTCCTTTTTATCTATAGAATCATACACCTGCTTGAAATCTATATAGACATGGTGCAGATCCACGTTATATTCGTATTTTTTTTCCAGCATTTGTCTTACAGCAAAGATGTGATCCACTGTTGACCTATTTTTCCTGAAGCCACATTGATAGTCTCCTCAAATTCTTTCTCCCCATGATTCTAGTCTCTTACTAATAGTACAAATACTAATAGAAAGGACTTTATATAAAGTTGGCAGTAGTGCTATTCCTCTGTAGTTATCGCAATTTAACTTGCCCCCCTTTTTAAAAATTAAGGACAGGAAATCAATATATTTATCATAATTAAAATTAAATGTGTATATTTGCTAATCAATTGATTATGGAGTCATTAAAAAAAAAAATTACTATTATTTCAATTTTACTTGAATTATCTATCCCAAGTCATTCAGAAATCACACAAGTATATTATATTATAAATAAGAATGAAAAATAGTCAGTAAATGCAGTCATTAATGGTGTTTAACAAGTGTTTCAACCAAATCCTGTTGGTCATCATCAGGGCTAAAAATTAAAAAAATGTTATATTTTTTATGTAATAATGACTATATTGCCTACAGTTCTTTATGGATGCGAAACTTGGCCGCTTACATTTAGGGATGAGCAGCGTCTTAAGGTTTTTGAAAATAAAGTATTGCGTAGAATATTCGGACCGAAGAAGGATGAGTTAACCGGAGAGTTCAGACGGTTACACAACGCTGAATTGCGTGAGCTGTATCCGGGTAATATAATTGAGGTAATTTCATCGTGGCGAATCAAATGGGCTTGTAAAGTTGTTGGGCTTAGTAACGAGAGAATTCCTAAAAGGTTAATATTTGCTGTGCCGAATGGTAAGCGTCCGAGGGGTAGACCGAAGCGAAGGTGGGAAGATTGCATTAAAGCCGATCTGAAGGGACTGGGTTTGGACGGCGAACGGTGGAGGGAGGTGTGTAACAAGCGATTGGTGGTGTCGGCATCGAACCTTCGGGTTCGCTAAGCCTTATTATTATTATTATTATTATTATTATTATTAATAATGACTATATAAATATATAATGACTGACCGGATTATGTTTCATCGTTATAACGTTAACAATCAATTATATCTGTATCAATATTATAAATCAGTAACTTCAAGCAGATTTATAGATTTAAAAGAAAAATATTCATGTTTTACATTTTTTAAGAATATTTTGATTTTTTTTTTCTAGCAAAGTGAAATTAGCTTGTTGCAAATCACACTAACGAATTTTAATATATTTGCGCATACCATATATATAAAAGGAAACAATTGTTGCCCCAGAACTGAAGGAACTTCATTATATTTCATGATTTTAAAAAATATTTTACTAAAGCAGTTATGCTAATGTATGTTTAAAATATTATCATCTATATAAATATAAAAATACTCCTTTATTTGAGCTAAACATACAATAATTATACGACAAATAATCCTAAATGAAATTTTCTTTTTTGTTTTTCTATAGCTAAACTTTTTAAAATACCTGGGTTGCAACAATATTTATTTTATTTATTTATTTTTTCCTATTTGTGATGTTTTACTTATATATTTATAAAAAAAATTTAAGATTTAGTGCTAATGAAAAAACTTACGAGTTACTAGCATACTCTCCCATGATAATTCTTTTATGGGAGTTTTTTATTTGCTTACAAATTCCAGCTAAATAAGAGAAAAAACTTGCACATTTCACTCCCCAAAAACCTTTAACACTGTTAATGGACTCTCCAAACACTTCGGCAGATCTTCTGTGGCTGCAACGAGGTGGATCTACGCATAAGTTATTATTATTTATTATTAATTGGTACATATCAAGAAACAAAGATTAAAATAATCAAAATTTATGTATTTATATACCAATGTACTATATTTATATACTAGAAACACATAGATATATGATACAATGTTATTGAAAAAAAAAAACATGCAAATTTTATTTGAAAACATTTAAAAATATGAACCGTGATATTTTACCACTTCAAATACTTTTTTAAGAGGAAAGTTTTAGTGTTTTAATTATTTGAAAAATTTATATATTATTTTTTTTTTTACATTAAGATGAAACTAACTTACCTATTTATTAAATAAAGTTGATATTTTTTTGGAATTCCAAAACTAATTTGTTTAACATACTTGAATTATATTCCAATTTTACTAGTAAAAAAAAAGAAGAAAACTTGTAAATAGTTAAGGTATAATGAGTCAATGGAATTGTTTCATACTTTCTCAACTCATTTTCGATCTACAGTTAGATTGAAAAAATTGATCTTAAGTTAATTAATTTTTACTCAATACACTTCTCCTAGCTGATCAACATATCGAGTACAATTTTGAAAATCAGATTCATGGCTTAAATCTAATATGAATATACGAAAAACTACCGTACTTGAAACATTGTAGCATCCTGGTTGAATGGATGCACCATTGATATAAAAATCAACGTGACCAGATGGTTCAGCTTTACCGAACATTCCTGGATTGGAATGGATTACATCAACAAATTTAGCATCACTTTTATCTAATTTGAATTCATCAACTGGAGTTGCATAAAGAGGCAAAGCTGGATCAAGACCTGAAATAATAAGAATATGAAAATCGTATCCTCTTTCTTCATAACCTAATTTTCACCGATCCAATTTCTCCATAAAAGGAATGTATTGAACCATGTAAAAAAAAAATATATCTCTAATGAAGCTTTCCCAAAAATTATCGTAGGCTTTGATGACTGAATTAAACACCCTAAAGGCATTCATTGAGATCAATCTACACGTCCCCCTCCATGCTGAATGAAATGTGGTAAAATCCTGAGTATAATTTTTGGAGTTATGTAGATCAACTGGAATTTCATTGTTCCTTGATTATGGCACGTCAAAATTCAATTATTCCAAATGACCATGTATTAAGTACAGGAGAGTTTAAATTTATGACATTGGGTTTACAAATGTGTTACAAAAATATTGAAATGAAGAACATAACATATTTTTTTACTATTAATTATGTTAAAAAATTTAAATATTAAGCGACAATCACTTTATTTTTATAAAATAGAATAAAAAAATTATTGTCTTAAGAGTTTACGATTTTAAAAAAACCATAAAATTTCATTTTTTTTAATGTTTTTTAAATACAAAAAATATTTTCTTTTGACAGCGGAGTAGCTCAGTGAGTTAGGCACTGGACTGCTAAGCTCAAGGTACCGTGTTCATGTCGGTCTGATGTCAAGTAATTTTTCATCAACCGTGGATCGACACTGAGATCAGGAGGCGCTCCTGGGGAAAAACGAGCCTCTACTAATTGAGTACTCTTAATTGAATAATTAATTAAGGATAAAACCCTGGCAGTTGAATGTAGTTCTGGCTCGATCACCACCCTGCATAACCGTTGGCCTTGAAACAATAAAAACTCTTCATGTGTTGTAGTAGTATAGGTTTTTTAATTTTTTTTTGTTTGGTAAATACTGAATTGTTTAATATTCTTGATAATGCAGAGGTAATATTTATATCTCATTAATTATAAAGTTGTATTAATCTGCTCATTTATAAGTTTGTAGGCTACGAATACTACAAAATATGTATTTGCCAATATTTTTCATTCAATTAAAAAATGTGATTAAAATTATCAATTAGAATTAAAATCTTCAAAAAGATTTTTAAAATTTACCAGTTATTCTATCAATCAATACTCCATGGTTGTTCGTCAAATAATTAGATACATGCCCTGCCACATGGGCTCCGAGGCTAAATCCAACAATGTGTACCGCTCCAGTTGGTTTAAGGACACTTAGAGCTTCACCTGTGCAGCGGCCAACCTGTCTTGTATTCATTTTGGCACTCACATAGCAAGGTTTGCTCGCTAAAGTCTCCCAATCCACTACTAAAAGAGTGTCTCTTCCTCGTTCCAAATAACCTGGTTAAAAGTGTGACAAATTATCACTCAACAATCATTAATAAAAAAATTTAAAAAAAGGAATATGTTAAGAAAATAACTTTATTGATCAATTTAAGGAAGTTTTTAGAATTATTTAAGATAGACAAAGAAGATCGAAATATATTTTTAAAAAATGTTAGGAAAATATCTATAGCTTTATTTATCCTATAATGAAAAATTGATAAATAACCATATTGAATCACATATAAGTATACCATCTATAACATCGTCCATGAAGTCCAGCGAAGAATACCCATGGATAATAACCTTAATGTTGGCTACAGGATCATAACTTTCTGGTACAATTTTATTCTTCAAATCTAATAATACTCTTCTTTCGCTTCTGTAACAGCACAACGTTAACGTTAACAAAAGGTTACCTGATATAAGAAAATTGTCTAATAGAGAATTAAGTAAGTTAAGCCATAATAAAATTTCATTTTTATTTAATGGATAGCACTTAATATTCAAATAAAATATACTGTAAGTTTTCAGACACTCACTTTGTATAGAGATAAAATTTAATATGTTCATTTGAATTGCAAGGTAGGTTCATCTGCATTTTGCACTTGTTTCTTTCTAAATTTACCTTGAAACCCCCTTTTACTGGAGTATGTGTCGATGTTGAGACTGAAAAAAATGATGGAAATTAATTAAATATATGAATAGATTTTAGAAACGTAAATATTTTATTAATATAAATTACATATACAAATATTATATAAATATAATCATTTATTAACAATTTACTGAGGGATATTTTCATTCACTCCATTATAGATGGAAATAGCTAATGCCTAAAATCTACTAAAACAAGATATTGATAATATAAGACTTATAGCTTACTAAATCTAAATATTAATAATACAAATAAATTATAATTTTTTTTTAAATAATCATTTCATTTCATTATACTTCTCTTTTGACATTTACTAGTTGTAGTGATATTTAAATACAGTTATAAATTTAATTTTAAAAAATTCTTTGAAATTGATAATTGATAGTATGAATACAGTAAAAAAAAAAAAGATACACCATATTTGTTAGTATACAAATTATTTGTCTTTTGCAATATGTTATTTTATTTGAATGTTACTTATTTCAATGAAATAAATCAAGTTTTCATTCAAATTTATTTGTTAATATATCCAAAAAAACTTGAATCTTTGTTCTTTCTACCTCTAATATAAGTTATAACAGAAACCTACTCTAGATTAGGCAGTTCAGTTATTCTTGGGAAAACAGTCTACTCCAATGTGCAGAAATGCTTCCATATGCAGAAGGGGGTAAGTTGTACCATCAAAATTTTTGAGGGAGATACATTTTGAGGGGGTCATGAATTTTTGAGGGAAGCCCATTTTGACCAGGTTTTGAATTTTTGAGCAGGTACATTTCTATGGGGTTATGAATTTTCGGAATGGATTAATTTCAAACCAGGGAACAAGAGGAAAGCAAAGAACAGACCACATTGCATATGACCTATTATTTTTAAAATTATACTTTATCTTGCACCGTTTTTAAGAAGATAAGAGCAAACAAATATCTTGGAAGAAGGAGGAGGGTTTATCGACCTTAGGAGAGATGGGCACCCCTCCGAATATGCTTATGTTTGTCTGGGCCATTTAATTTTCTGGGGGCTAAAAATTTCATAAAAAGTTTCATTTTAATAGTTTCCAGAAAAACTTTGTAGAGAAATGTTTTTAAAATAAAACGACAATGACATTTTTTTTTTTTGTCGTAAAGTTCTGTGTAAAGTATAACTTTTATTTACTTGAATTCTTAACAAAAAGTTATAACTATAAAATTTATAATTTATTAACAGGAAATAAACAGTAATTGGACTTAGATAACGGATGTGATTAATCTTGTTTGAATTGCCTGATTCTTATAGATCATCTGTTCGGTTTGCTAAGAGTGTAATCATACTATATAATTATCATTTTATCGTTTTAATTTTTTTAGATTTAAGTGTTTTATTATATCTTTAATTGAAATATTCTAGTTATAGTTATAGTTCTGAAAAAACAGGAAAAGAGCTGAAAATAAATAATACAGTCTTATTGCAATTGATTGAAAATAAAAGTCATGTTTTCTTATCAAGCTCATTTATAGTGAATGTAAATGTTTTTTAAGTAATCAACAGTAGAATGATTGACTTAAAGTTAAGGGTTCTAGTGTAGAGTTCCTAATTTTCTTCTTCAGTTTTTTTTTTTTTTTTGTTCTTTTTAATACCTGATTCATTCGACATAATCAATTGGAACCTGTCCAAATCCGTACCCTTATTTGCCTTCGATTCCGTTCCAATATCCATTGTCATTGTTATTCCCAGTTGGATCCGATCTGCCTCACGTACGTCACAAGAGCCTTCCTTATCGCCCTGTAAGGAAACCTCTAGGTAATTTACCTGAGGAATGCCTGATGTAGGACTGGCCATCGTCCTCCAGAACACACAATCCCAGCATACAAACGATAGTTGCCTTAACAGTTCTCAAACCAGTTCCTGAGTTTCTACTCTATTTGAACACAGGTTACATAATGCCGAACTGGTTCAAACATTGTCAACTATGTAAAATATCTGTTTATAATTAGTACGGCATCCGCTGGAAGACTGTAAATCTAGTCCGACGATGGGTACAACCGGATTCCAGCACCCTAGAAAAACCTGCTTGAAAGTTTATAACCTCTACGGATCGGTCTGTCTTGTTGAGTTGGTAAGCTGGTTACATTTATAGTACGAATGGACCAACTCAGAGAAACTCGAATTAGAAGATGCTAATGATGTATTCTTTTTTTTACTTTATTAGATTAATATGTCCAATAATCTTTATTAAGGATAGAAAAAAGGCATTGGTACTATGATAATCTAATTTGAATACATTGATATGCAAGGGTGCCCAGAAGGGGGTTTCATGACGCAAGTTGCACCATAAAAATTTTTGAGGGGAGCATATTTTAACAGGTTTTTGAATTTTTGAGAGAAGGTTCGGGCTAATGGAAAAGGTTGACACATGGAACTGACCGCAGCAAGTGTTAGTCCGTGGTACAGACCCCTTTTTATCGAATTATTAACATCCCCCTCAAACTTCGTAAATAGTTTCATCTCATCGTAACCTACAACTATTTTATTTACGAAAACTCTTGGAATTGGGGAATCACCCTCAATCTGGAGGGTGGCAAACATTGTCTACTTAATTAGGTACTAAAAACCCGTAAACTTGCTTTCTACTTTAATCGTAAGAAAATTTGATCATAAAATCGATAAAAAGAGTGGCCTACAAGAATATACCGTTATACCTATATACCTAATACCGTTTGTCCTATATAACCTCGTTATTTTGAAAATTTGGGGGTGTAGTTCACGCAAACGGCCAAATTTTTGAAGGCCATCTTTTTTTCTCGATTTTGTGATCAAATTATGTTACGGTCCGAGTAGAAAGCAAATGAGTATTTACGAGTTTTTAGTACCTAATTAAATAGCCAAAGTTTGCTTTCCTTTAGATTGAAAACCCCCCAATTCCAAGAGTTGTCGTAAATAAAATAGTTGTAGGCTAGAGATGAAACGATTTACGAAGTTTCAGGCGAATGTTAATAATTCGATAATAATGGGTCTGTACCACGGACTATGCATTTATATATGATCTACGGTTTTTAAAATTTTACCTTAGCTTGCTGTGTATTTAAGAAAGCTGAGGAATAAAATATCTTGGGAAAAGGAGGGGGATAGGTTCTTACGCCATCGACCTTGAGGGGGATGGGCATTCCTGATGACAAGTAAAAAAGTTTATTATTTCCTATCATTACTAATATATAAAGCTCAAGAATTTGTTTCTTTGATCGCGCCTTGAAGAACCTTTTACGCTTTTCAACATACACCAAGATAATACCCATAGAAACGGAGCGAAGGGACAAATCTTTAAGTATACTCGTCTAAGAGCAGATCCACAAGAGGTGGGATTCAAGCCCGATCATTAGAGACCGTAACCTTGGATTTCTCACGTTTATAAATTAAAATAACTCATACATTCGCCATTAGATTTATTCATGACTTCGTTCTCTTCGATGGCTGTTACACAATAATTCCTCAGGTCACTGGACAAGGAGGAATTATGAAGCCGAAGGTTGACAACCACCACACACCGCACTACTATCACAACCACGCACCTTCCCGGTTACTAATTGATCTTTAACGAGTTTCGAGATCTGTATGCTGTATAATGGTTCACGATCAACAAAAGCGATATGCCGATGTTCTATCCGTTTATAAAGTATTAATAGATTTGTTTATTTATTATAGCACCCTTCTCTAATCCGTGTTTTGGTAACTTTAAAGGTGCGAAATGAGCTCTAAACCAAAAAAACATTGTTTTCTCTCTTTTGTGAAATATCTAAATTCATCTGAGCATATAACACAGATTATATAAACTTGTTCCTGTTGCAAATCAGTATATCGCTAATATAAAAGCCATACAAAGTTAGGAAACTAAATTTCAAAATCAATTTAAATAAATAGAATCCACTTTGCGTGTTCCATTTTTTCCTCTTCCTTTATTATATTGATTTACTTATATTTTCACGAATATTAATTAATGATATAATTACAAACAGACCGTCTGTAAAATAATTATTAACCTAAACATTAAAACAATAATAATTATTGACTTGAAACACTAAATTTCAACTTAAATATTTTATACTGTACCTACTTATTAAGTTTTATTTATCACAGAGTTAAGATTTTATAAATTAATAATTTCAAATCAAATTTATTTTAAAATGTTAACTTTTAATTTCCATACCTCGGATTGGCAACACTGTGAGAGACCATTACTATTGGCCGTTAAGTGTCAGTTGACTTGAACTTTAGGTCAGTTATAAAATAGTGTTAGTGAAAAAAATGTACATGGTGTTGAACATTCTAATTTTCTAATAATCATAAAAATTAATAAGCGGATTTGTAAAGTTAAAAGTATTCTTGTTATTTATATCAAACATACTTATATTTACTGCATACAACTATGCTTTTTCCAATTGTTCTTTTTAACATAAGTGAGTGAAAAGTAATGAACTGTATCTTGATTGTTCAATCATTAAATAAAATGAAGAACGTTTCACAGAATTTGAAGGGCCTCTAGGAAATCTAATTAATCTGGAAGCATAATTTGCCGGGTGAGAATTAACTTCTTATCAATTAATGTGTATTTTTTAAAAATATTTTATTTTTTAATTTAAAAGCAATCTGTACTATTTATTAGGTTCTTCTTTTTTTTTTTAATCATTTGTGTTTTTATTTTTAGATGGCCTTTTTTTATTTATATACATGTTTTGTATGATCTGGTAAAATTTTTCTCATTTTTGTTTGTGCTACAATTCATTTCATCTATAATTTTTGTATTACTTCCACGTTTCTACTGGCAATTTTAAAAATTCTTGGATCATTTTACTGTTTATCACTTTACTCTCGAAGTTATAGATATTTTTATTTGTATTTATCCCTGAATAAGGCTCACTTTATTGTTCCGATATGTCGTCTGTTAAAAATAAAGAGATTATTTTGTTTTATGCTAATCATAATAATCAGCAGTGGAGCATCCATCGCATAAGAAAACGGTAAATATTATTACAATCTTTTTTTTTTTGATACAATTGAAATTTCCAGAACTCTTTATATGTTTCCTCTACATTCATAAATGGGCGACGTATGAACCTTTAACCTTAAATCGGCCATCATTTCGAAAAAAAAAATCGCGAGCCGCCAAACATCCAGGTCATCAGCGCACGATCAACTAAATAACACTACTTTTGTTTTTCAGAAGGTTGGTACACAGAATAAAAAAAAAAAGATAAAAATAAAACAATTAATAGAATAAAATAAATAAATAATGATAATAATAGACACTTATAGATAATACGATAGAATAGATTAATAAATAAACTAAAAAAAAAAACGATAAATTAATTAATCAATGAACTTTTTAAAATTATAAAAAAATTAATAAATCTGCCAAGGACCATTAGTTATAAACTTGTCATATATGTTTTACAATTTTTTCATTGTCTTTGAACTTCATAACTTAGGTAAGGATTTCTTCTTAATATACCAGGGATGTTGATATATTCTGGACTATTCCGAGATCTTTTAACCTGGCGGTGTAAAAAGGGCACTCTTCCAAAACATGTTTTATAGTTAATGACTGGTCACACTTTTGTCATCCGGGGAAAAGATCTTTTGTTATGAGGTGGAGGTGTGTCAGTCTAGTATGTCCGATCCTCAGCCACGTGAGGACGACCTCTTCTCTACGACTGCTGCGCCTGGAGCTGGTCCACGACTGCATCTCTTTCTTTTGCTGCTCTATCATTTCGTTTCCTTTAACGATTATATGGCCAGATAAAATGCGCCGTTGTTCCAACTCCATGAAGTATTTATATAAGATTTAGAATGCAGTGTATTGCTGGATGGTCTGGATACATGTTATTCATGGCTTTAAGAGTATTTAGGGAATCCGATACCACAAACCAGCTCGAAGGTTATCATGAAGTGATCTGTAATTTGGTGTCGAATTATGAAAAATTTACCAATGACTGACTTTTTAATACATTTTTTTTTTATTCAACGTACCTTGAAGCGTTGAACCTCATATTTTGAGTGAAGGGGGGAGGGAGGATTGTAAATGTTTTTTTTTCGTTTTGATGGGAAATAAAAGGATCATCATTGAAATCAAGTAAAATATGTCTAGGAAAATAACGAAGTACAAAATATAATTATTGCATATTATTTCCTTATGTCTTTTACGATCATATAATCTTTTCGTCGATGTATAATCCATTATTTGAGAAAGCAGTAAGCAGTTAAGGATCAGAAGATAACCTCTTCACCTCTGACTTCATTCTCGTAACCAGTGGCCAGCTAGCCAAGGGACGTAATTTACGACGTATATTCGTGTTTAAAATGACCAAGCCGTATGTTGGGCAACTTTTCCATGTTGTATTCCCCCATCGGAGATTTGACGACACGTTTTTGGAAAGTTCCACTCCTACTGAACCTGAATTAAAATAAGTACGATTCCGAATTACAAATCGCTCGTTTTATTCGAAACCTTTATTTTGAAGATTGCAGCAACATTTTTATTCTATTTATATTCTAAAATAATACTAGAGCATCGAACTATTTTTGCAACTCCTAGTCCTTTTTGGAATGCAACTTACGTTTGGATTTAAATATTTACACTTTCAAAACTTTTTTTTTTTTTATAACATTTTATTTTTAGCTTTAAAAATACTGGATTATCCAACACTGTCATCACCACCTATGCCGATGACACGTGTATCCTATCAGTTAATAACGAACAATCTATTGCATCGGAAACTCTTCCATCACACACCATCTTGAAAAATGGTGTGAAAACTGGAGGATTAAAATAAATTCCAATAAATCCC